ACTCGTGATCATCAAAGGTATTAACTGGTTTCTATTTTGCCATTGGACATCATTCATGATGTCTTCAAATATCCAGGTCAACAAATTTGGGAGGTAGAGATAAATATTTAAATTATGACTGAATTATTATTTAAATATTTACTTATTTCCCAGTTAAATATATCTAAGCACAGGAAAGAAACTTATCATGATGATACAAACTCAAAAGTCAAAAATATAATAATTGTTGTTCAGAGCTTATTGTCACTATGGCGACTCGTTATTATGCAATGAATCTAATTGTTGCCACATATTCTTTCCAGTGTCAAAATGTTGGCGACAGTAACAGAATCCTTGCTTTTGAAGAATGTTTCTAGAGCAAATGCTTGATACTATTCCAACCAACGCTGGTTGATGACAGAAGACTTTTTTTTATTCAGTGATTAATATTTCATAATGAAGCCACCTACAAAGTATACAACTACACTACTTACCTAATATAATGCCACCTACAAAGATGATGGTATACTGCAAAATTTATACTGTCTAACTGTTTTTGCCTCATGATGGAGACAAAAAAATAAAGCCAAATATTTTATATTCTAATTATATTTCAATACACCGTTTACTGAATTATAATTAGAATATAAAATGTCTGAAAAAAAAAAACTTCGGCATTATTTCTGATGAAATGGAATGCTTTCTTTACCCCAAAATAAATTGATACAACAGAAAAATAATAATGTAAAATTTTATGAAGAATGAAGCTAAATAATTAGAATAGAAAAGCAGAAATATGGATCATAGTAAAAATTATTATATTCATAAAAAGTTGCAAAAAAGGAGGTAAATTGTTGCTTATTTAAAAGCACAACATATTGTTACAAATTTGGTATTTAAAAAGCTAATGTTAATTCAGTTATAAACTAAATAGTTTTATTTCTCATGCAGTGCAGCGCGTGACGAATATTAAAAGAAAGCTAAGTCGGAAAATTGAAAATACAAGAGCGCGTGCATTAAATTAAATAAATATCTCTTTTTGATTTCGAGAAAGTACTGGAAAATTCTAGCGCGTGATTTTTAAAATCTTATAAAAGTAGGAAAACATCTCAGTTTGTAGTAGTTGCTTAGTTTGTTGTTGTTTAGAAAACTGTTCTTGTTGATCGTAGCGAATTCACGGATTAGCGTTCTTTAGCTGTTTTGAATTACGTTCTATTGGACATTTGAGTAGTTAAAAGGAAACTACTGTGAGATATTGTAATACTGCATGATAATTTGAGAAAATTTAAGCATTTTTGTTGTGATAATAATAAATTTTTGTTCATTTTTCATTGGACTTGTGCATTCATTCATAACGAACCCGTACGCACGCAACAATTTTTGGTGTCAGGAGTGGGATTTGAATGCCAATAACAAGAGCGATGGAAGAGCAGTTAAGGCAGTTGATATCAGGCAGGCTTTGCCTCGTTTAAAGAAGAGATGAAATATTCTGTTACAAAAGAATGAATTCCTTTAAAGGTGAGATGAAATCTAGCCAAGGAAAGATGGAATGGGGCCGTCAAGAATCCGTTAAGGAAGAAATGAAATTGGGCCAGGAATCCATTAAGGACGAAATGAAAGCTGTTCAAGCTGGTCAAGAAAAGATTGAAGTGGTCAAGAAGAAATAAAAAGAGAAATTACTTGCATAATAGAAAAGAAATCTTGAAGGCTATGGAAGGCAGAATTAACGGACAGTGGTTCAAAATAAAGTTGGAAAAAATTGAAGAAAACGTTTCTTCCGTAAAAGATCAAATTGAAGAAAGAGTTTCTTCGGTGAAAGAAGAAATAGAAGAAAGAGTTTCTTCTGTAAAAGAACATATAGAAGGAAGAGTTTGTGCCGTCCAACACCAAATCGAACAACAAATTGATGATAGGGTTTCTGCAGTAGCCAAAGAAGTGGATATTTTAAAGAAATTCGTAGCGACGGCAGAGAACAATAGTGATGGTTTTAAATTTTTACCCATGCCTGCTCGTCCCTCTCTGAAGTTATCCACTTATGATGGGAAGACCTCCTGGCAAGTGTATAAAACACAATTTTCTATAGTGGCGGGTGCGAATGGATGGGATTCCCAAACTAAGGCCTATCATCTCGCCGCTTCGCTGAGAGCAGACACAGCGGATATCCTGCAGACGCTTCCTGAAAACCAAAGACTTGACTTCGAAGCTCTATCCGGCGCATTGGAGCTGCGCTTTGGCGAGAAATGTTTAAAAGACTACAGCAGGCTTTAATTAAAATCCCATCAACAGAAGCCCACCGAATCACTCCAGGAACTCGCCACGGATGTTGAAAGGCTGTCCCACCTCGCCTTTACGGAGTGCCCGAGAGAAACGAGGGAAATCCTGTCGCTGCAATATTTCGTCGATGGCATCCGGGACCCTGAACAGAAAGCACTGCGAATGGCGGATGTTAAAGATTTGAAAAGCGCTTTAGTGTCATCCATGAAATTCGAGGCAGCCCAGCAAGCCACTCGTCGAGACCGCCACCCAGTTAGAGCTGCTCAAGTCCAGGAGCCAGGGGATTAAGTCACCGCTCGTCTAGACGATTTAAGTAGACAACTGAACGCCTTGAGACGGAATATTGGTGAGAAGAAACTGACCGTTAAGTGCTGGAACTGCGGTGCTGAAGGACACATATGATGAAATTGCAAAACACTCCGAGGTACAGAAAATAAAACAGATGATTTTACCAGACAAGTAAGTGGCTTGAGACGGAACAGAAGTGAAAAGAAACCAGTTCTAAAGTGCTGGAGCTGCAGTGTTGAAGGCCACGTGCGAAAGAACGGCAGAACTCCCCAGAGCACGGAAAATAAGATAGACGAGTTGAACAGACAATTAAATGCCATCGGACGAAAAAGGATTGACACAAAACCAAAATGCTGGAACTGTGGAACTGAAGGCCACGTACGAAGGAACTGCAGAACACCCCGAAGCACGGAAATTGAGACCATTTCCCAGCAACAACGGAGGAAACAAATGAAAGACCATATCGAGGAACGGAGGTTGCCAGATAATGAAAAACCTTGCTTTAAAGCACTCAAGATTTCTAGAGTAAGTGGCAACAGTAACGGACTGTCCATCAATGGAAATATCGATGGAGTTTCTTGCAATATGATCATTGACACAGGAGCTAATGTTACCATCATTAGGAAAGATGTAGCTGAACAGTTTAAAGATAAACTTATTTGCACGCCATCCTGTGTTACCCTTCAGACTGCGTATGGTGACAAGATCGAGATAGCTGGGAAGTTGAACGTTAACATCACGTTTGGAAGTGCCGCTTACCATTACACGGCCTATGTGGCGGATATTACAGATACATGCATACTCGAATTGGACCTTTTAAGGAAATACAATTTTTCCTTAGACTTCAAAAACAACAAACTGCTTTCAGCATCTGATGGCATGACTATCCATCCTCAAAAGGGATCCTCACCTGAAAATGCTGACGCCTTGTCCGAAAGACCCAGCTCAGGTAGCTGCCGAAATCGTGCTAGGGCCAAAAAGAAACGCAAGACTACCAGCTATTCTCCATCTCAGATGCTCTTCGGTCGAGACCTTCGTCTGCCTTGTGACCGCCTGTTTGATCGCCGTATGGATGCTCCTTCATCGCCTGAGGAACACATCCAAGATGTCCAGGCCCGTTTTGAAGTAATGCACCATTCCGCACGAAAGCAAGTGAACTTGGCGACGGAGAAGGTGAAAACCACATACAACACGAGAGATACTGGACATAAATTCAAACAAGGAGACAAGGTGTGGTTGTGGAATCCGATTCAACGAAGAGAACTCAGTTCTAAATTACAGTCACCTTCGGATCGTCCATATACAGTCCTGAAGAGACTGAATGACGTCATGATCCGTAAGTCTTCAAACTCTAAACCTAAAGTCGTTTATTACGACATGTTAGCTCACTACAATGGCCATAGTTCGTAATGTAAATAATTGTAAATAGTATAAGACCATGGTTCATTTTGTTTTTAAATGTGTATTTGATTTGATTTGTATTTAGTATTTGATAGCATTTGATTTGTTTTATGTATTGCATTTATTGTTCATGTTGTTTATTATTGTAATGTAATGCTTATTAATGCATTTATGTCACAGTTGTAAGTTTAGCTTCCTGTCCAGGGATTGTACTGCCCGGGACGTGCAGTCCTTGGGAAGGGAGCAGTGTTACGAATTTGGTATTTAAAAAGCTAATGTTAGTTCAATTATAAATTAAATAGTTTTATTTCTCGCCCAGGGCAGCGCGTGACGAATATTAAAAGAAAGCTAAGCCGGAAAATTGAAAATACAAGAGCGCGTGCATTAAATTAAATAAATATCTCTTTTTGATTTCGAGAAAGTACTAGAAAATTCTAGCGCGTGATTTTTAAAATCTTATAAAAGTAGGAAAACATCTCAGTTTGTAGTAGTTGCTTAGTTTGTTGTTGTTTAGAAAACTGCTCTTGTTGATTGTAGCGAATTCGCGGATTGGCATTCTTTAGCTGTTTTGAATTACGTTCTATTGGACATTTGAGTAGTTAAAAGGAAACTACTGTGAGATATTGTAATACTGCATGATAATTTGAGAAAATTTAAGAATTTTTGTTGTGATAATAATAAATTTTTGTTCCTTTTTCATCAGACTTGTGCATTCATTTCATAACGAACCCGTATGCACGCATTAATATTATATGGTTCATACAACAAAGTTATAGGTAAAAACATATAAAATAGGATCACTTGTGAATCTAACCTTTTCCTAATTTTTTTTCATTTATATTTTTATGGATTCACTTCATTACTTTTACAACTAATTATTATTAGAGTTTTTCTTTTATTTATCTGTTCATAATTTATGATATAATATATACAAATTTAAAGTTACCTTCAACAAATGAGAAGAATGAATTAATGAAGTTGGCAAATGGCAATAGTTATTGTTGTACAAAATCTTGTCACTAAAATGGTTAAAACAAATTTAAGACTCTGAAACAAACCTTTAAAGCTTCGCCAGTCAGTGCAGAACAAGCCTGTATTTGCCAAGAACGATCACGAATGGCAGGTAAATTTAATCCATCTGCTAATTCACTGGCAGGAGCAGCATTGAATAAATCTTGTTTGTTAGCAAAAACAAGCAATGGAACACCGGCTAACTTTTCTTCAGCCAACAGTTCTGCTAATTCCTAAAAATGAAATCTCATTAAAAAATTAAAACATGCTTCATTTTTAAGACTGAAATCAATACACTTTACAATCTGATGTTAGTGCAAAATTGTAGTATTATAATGCATATAATTAAACAAACAAAATACAATGTAAGAAATTACTAAACCTGTCATTTATTGATAGGCTTAGGTATACAGGATAATCATCAACATTGTTATGTAAAAAGTCATATTAATTTTTTTTACAGTAACAACAAAAGTTAACACTGTTTGTGACAAAGTTACTTTTATGCTTTAAATAATTCTCAAAATAATCTAAAATTCGTTAACTGGTAGAGTTTGAAGGTCTATGTGAAGTGGTTGGTATTTGAAATATATTAAATACTTCTAAATACTGATGAAAACAAGATTAAGTTATCAGCACACAAAACGTTTTAAAAATACATCCAATAACTTTTTGTATAAAAATATTAGTTCAATGAATCTTTCAAATCTATAAAATTCAGATGATATTATAAAGGTCAAGATAAAATAAATGGTTTCTGACTTACCACACCTGTTTCCTCAAATCGTTTCCTATCAGCACTGTCAATAACATATATCTGGTAAAAAGAAAATATATTATTAAGCATAACATAATTGTAAAAACATACAAATTTAAAACATTAAGAAATACAAATAACATATAGTCATTTCAAAGCATGTGATTAGAATATTGTGCTTTTGCAATAAAACTGAAATCACTGCTGTCCACTGTTTCTTGCAACTTATTCATAAGAAAGTTTTATAAAAATATCATTGTCAGTTCAAATAAAACATAGTTTCCACTTTTTTCTTTTAAGAAAACATTAATTGTAGTTATACTGTAAAATTTAGGTTGCCAGTGTCATTTTACGGTGGAATAAATGGCAGCTACAACAATTTTGAGTTAAACCAAGTCTGATTGGATATTTCCAGAAACAAGAAAATTTTATACTTTATAATTATCTGTAGCCACCTCCCCCCCCCCAAAAAAAAGTCACCAACTTGCTGGCAATTAATTTTTTACCAAGCTAATCTGTGAAGCCCAATAGCCATTTTTTAAATAGCTGTGCAAAGAATTCTATAAAATAGTAATGAATTAATACAGATTTTTTAAAAAGGCAGGAGATAAACATTAATCTCTTTCAAGAAATCCTTATGTAATTTTTTTCATTTTTACATTACTGTTCTCATTACATATACAGTGATCTGTTTACAATAGTACTTTTCTACTACCAGGATCAGATTTAGAAATCTGTGTATATATGAATAAGTGTATATGTGTGTAGGTACACATATATATATATATGCATATACAAACACATACAAACATACATTTCTGAATCCTGTCCCCCAATAAATAACAGAAAAGTACCAAAAAAGCATTAGAGAACTGCATTTAATTTAGCATTGCACACACTGTTGTTATCCCCTATTATACAGCAATCTGTTTCTGCTTTACAACTTCGGCATTACTTCTGATGAAATGGAATGCTTTCTTTTTCGTCAGCTGGCAAACTCCACAGTCTCATCACAATTTGTTACCAAGGGGAAAAAATACACTCAGAAAAAGAACCATTAAATTTGAAAGGTGGAAATTTACATGTACTGAAATGCACATCTGTTGCAAGCATACCTGGGTTGCCACATAAATACACTTTGATGATGTCATGGGTTGCCACATAATTGTTTTCATGACACTACATATTGCCTTATAAATGCTTTTTGTGGATAATCAGAAAGAATCAAAAATTTATTAGCAAAGATGAATTTGAAAGAACCTCAAAACAAAGTATCTGGAGACTGACTGTAAAGTGTTCAATAACATAATAGTATGAAATGTAGAATAATAATAAAAAAAAAAAAATACAATTTAACAGAGTAGCTAGAAATAATATTAGTACATTCATTCACACATGCTTTCCATTCAAGTATTCCTTTCCTTCCCTTGAAACTCTACACAAACCACATAATACCCCTCTCTTGATTTTCAGGCTATGGAATACGTGACAAAAAAATGCATGAAAAATAAACATCTTACATTAATTTATTAAAGTAAATTATAATTCAAAATGCTTCAAATTGTAATATTTGAACAAAAAATTCTAGCGACAAATCATGGATGTCAATGTTTACAATGGATTTCGTTGCATATTTTAATAACAGCTTCTGCAATTTATAGCACACCTTTATTGCTACAAACTGACCACAAACCAATTTCATAAAACAGATAAAAAGGGGGAAGCATGAGAGAGAGAAAGAAAAAAGAAACTGCAGCAATGTCACAAGCCAATTAGGCACTCAAATGATAATTCAAAGTTGTCATAAAACTTTAAGCAGAAAGAAAACAAGTTGGGGGGGGAAGGATAAAACTTTTTGGTACTTACATACTATCACAACCACCTTGGTGCAATTTGGCAATTTTTTACAGATGAAAATGTAAATGTTACTTAGCATGTGCAAACTTGTGGTTTTCGTGCCTTTTATTTTCTAGAAAGATTCCCAAACTAATGATATTATAGTAAGTTTGGTAAACATTATGAACATAAGAAAAGAAAACTTACTTTAGCAATTTAAAATGTAAGTTTGAATTATTAAATAAGGATTATGTCCTACATTAAAAAAAATAAAACACTTACATTCTTTAAATTTTTCTGTAATTTTTTTTTTTGGGGGGGGGGTGTTATTCTTCTCCTGAAGTACACAACAATCTATTTTCACTTGAAAAAAAATCATACAATTGCAGAGACTCAGCTTTGTGCAATCTTCGGCAACAGCGACTATCTAAAAAAAATGCTACTTGTCGTTGTTTTCTTTAAAAAATTTCAGCAAAATTCTTTATTGCTGCTAAAATTTTACTGTAGTTTCTTCCATTGCTGGCACATTCCATTATCTCATACTTTGAAATTAAGGCAAAAAATATCAGGATTTATGTATAAAAACCATTGTAACTTGGAATGCAACAAAACAGAACGCATACAAAAATGGCAGCCTTGCTTGACTGAAATGATTGCTATAAGCATGGTTGCCAGAAGAATGGTTATGTACATTGCTGCTGCAGTTTGACACTTTCTGAAAATTTGGCTACTTCTACTAAGATGGTTGCAATAGTATGCAAGTACCAACTTTTTTGTTTAGGCATCATGAGACACTTCTCTGATGATGTATTAAATTACATAACTTTTAAACATATTTTATAAATTCATAAAAGTTCAGAAGTTGAGAACAAAATAAAGTAACATAAAAAAAAAAGAAAACCTTTAATACACACAACCTTAAACTATTATGAGACTTGTACCTTCCTTATTAAGAAAACATTAAAAATTTCTCAACACTTTATTTCAACAATAAAACAAATCTGTTTTTGATTGCATGGAACTGCAAAATACATGAAGGCTATCTGAACTATGACTAATATGCGTCTGTAGAGAATTTTACACAGAATACTGGCTTGTACTTATGTTATACACACGGAAAATCATGAAAACAACACCCATGAAGCTAACCCATTAACCAGAACTTGAATCAAAATACCAGTGTTCAGCAATTTTAACCACACAACCACTGGTGATAAAAAGTTGGTTGGATCAACATTCCTGCAAAATATTGCTCTTTTATCAAAATACACTTAAATCTATCTAAATTTAGACAAATAAAATGACTAACAAAAATTACTGTTAAATACAGGAAGCAATGACACTCATCTTTAAACCTCATTTTCAGCATCAAAATTAAGAAGTTAAGAAGAAGTCTCATCCATATCAAGTATCCTTTAAGTACATACTTACACACTGCAAAGTCTTAGTTGCTTTAAAAGAGATTATTTTCACATATATTTTTATTTAATCCATCACTGCTTTTGAGAACTGGATGATTTCACATCCACTTTGTGTTCATTATAAATTTCTTCAATAATTTAAAAGTCACTAATTTCAGTGGTACTTGTTGGCTATATGGTACCCATCAATATACTGGTGGCTTTGGGCTATGAAATCTAGTTTATCAATTTTTGGTGGCTAATAAATGATAATCAAATTTAAACTGGCAGCAAACAGATTATTATTATCTGCAGCTTGTTTTTGCCTAATAAATTCTGTAATTCTTCAAATAAATTCTGATAAGTAAGAAGGCAAGTGCTTGAAGAACAGTATCAAGTAGCCATTTATTCTATCATTTTGCTGATAAACATCACAAAATTTAGATGCAGTCTCGGAATCCAAACCGACATATAAAAACATGTTTGCCTTCTTCAGCTCTCCCTCAAAAATACAGAAAGCATTCATCAGAAAAGAAATAAAATTCTTATCTTTAATGGAAGAATCTAGAACAGCTTCTGAAGTTATCAAACATTCACATATCATATGTTTTAGCATACAAAGATAAATACAGCTAAATGTCTGGTATCCATATTGCAAACCACACAAAAGCTATCTGAACTAAGTGCATATGCTAGAGCAAGTAAGACTTAGAAATGCAATGTAAATTATTACAAAATTATATGCTGCATAACCATTTTAAAATATTCTGCTTACTAGTAATAAATATTTTAACCCATTCAGTGCCATTGTAGGTATCTGAAACTAACTTGTTTTAACTAAGTTTTCTAAAACTAAACTTTTTCATGTAAGAAGCTGACTATCACGTGAAAAAATGCTTAACATACACCTCACCACATGTTTGGTGCATGAATGGCTATTAAAAGGTACCAATATATCACATATAAGCATATGATCAGCAGCGAATGTGTTAAAGGAGTATAAAGATTTTTAATCGTTAATTTTATATAATTACCAAGACATCTGTATTTTCAAAGTAATTACGCCAGTATGGTCGAATCTTTCTTTGACCACCTATGTCCCATACATTTAATTTAAAACCTTCTGACTGAACACTTTTTATATTGAAACCCTATATATAAAAAAGAAAAACCACAATAAATTTTGTTATCTAAAAGCAAGAATTACATTTCAAGAAATTTTTATATTAAAACATTTAAGAAATGAAACTTTTGAAATTAAATCTTATTATTACACAGGCAAATTTATGTATGTTCAAAGCAATTAAGATGCAATTTTTTTCTAAAGCATACAATAATAATAATAAATTCTGGGAGAATCCAAAAGAGCTACAATAATCAACTAAATTTAAGTTTTCATATTTCTGGTAATTTTCATGACTGATGGCATAATCACTTTCATATTACAGACTATATAATGCATAACTATATTTTTCTAATTGAAGTGAATTTTTAACTTGTAATTACAAAAATGGAGGTGGAGAATTCACATATTAGTTTAACTTAGGGCTGTAGTTTAAAGAATTGTGAAATTACAATAACATCAATGCCATCTTGATCTTCTATAAAGCGATATGCTAATTATGCATACACTGAAAAGAAATAACATTATTAGACTACTATATAATCAAATTCTTTCTACAACCACATAATTTTAACCATAATTGGTTAAAAGTACTGCTGTAAATTTTTTTATATACTGGTATTTGCTTACATTCATTCATATCTTCATCATATATATTGTATAATCTTTATTTTGCAGTCATTTAATAGATGTGTAAATGTTTAACTGTTTTACTAAGAGTTTATAACATTAATAGCATATTAAATACCCTACATCATATACACTCACTTAATATCCTTACATTTTTAGCTAAAATTACATCACTAAAATGCAGGTGTGGACATTACACGGTTGTTCAAATGTATCGCTTTTTCTCGTGAGTAATTTTGAGTGTAAATTTCATTTCAAACAGCCAAGTTAAGTTCTAAGTGGAAGAAAATGACATAAGTAATAAAAGTGTCAATTTTAAAGTTGTCTAATACTATCTAAAATTTACAAATTCACTTTCTCTCATCTACATATATATAACAATAAATTACCCTGTTTACGTTATCAATACTCGGCGCGTATTAGTTTGCATAGTAACACAATGTAGACGCACAAATTAACCAACACTTGCAATTTTAATATTTACTTTTAAAATAAACATTGGTTCTTTTAATATCTTGTACACATTATTATTATTATTATTATTATTATTTTTAAATCTGTTCTGACGCACTGTATGAAAATCCATGCCATGAGGACAAAAATACTGCCAAACAGCTAAAATGGATGAAATATATCCCAATCAAACTGTTGTAAAGCAAAATGCCAGGCGAATGAGAGTTTTTATTTTGTTAATCCTATCTAAAACCAGTACATTTTCCCATTAATTTGTCTTGTATATGATCTGTGATATCTGTGCTAATTTTATTATCTATGTCATTTTATTTTGTGTGAGAGATGAGCACGAAGAGATATTTTTATGTGACAAATTTTAAACTGTAGGTGATTATGTTTGAGGAAAATTCTAATTACAGTATGGCTGCTTAGCAACGAAAAATAAGTTCAAGAGTGGAGGAAGAAAACACCAATATAAATATAATTATGAAAATAAAACAACTCATTTTCATAATATATTAATTTATTTCATTTAAAATTAATTTTTTCATTAAGAAATATAAATTAAAGAAATTTAAAAAAGCTATATTTTGGCCCCGATTAAGGAAAAGTACTTACATTTTTTTGTGACATTAGCGGAATCGCATATTAGCCGACCCACGTAATTTAGCTAGCAAGGCTTCATAGCACCTTTTTCTAAAGTTTTCAAAATTCTTACCTTATACATGGAAATATAAGGCAATCATTGCTGTTCATTTAAGACTTTTAAAATTTTGGACAGTAATTAATCTTATAAGTATGCTCAGTGCATTTTGCAAGAAATTTACAACAAATTCTTCTCCTTCAAAAAGCAGAGTTGTTCTGTGATAAGGCTGGAATGTTTTGTGTCACATACCTGATATTCACCAGACCTTCTCCCCTTGTTACACTCTATAACAAAAAAAATCGATGCACCAAGAAGGAATTGTGCAATGGGGACAAACATTGGTGGATATGAATATTATGTACAGAATAGAAAATGATTAAAATGTCAGAACAATAGAATGATTTATTTCAGAGTTACATAGTAACAAAGTAAGGAGCTCAATAAGACATTGACCCATCTCTAAGCCTGGATGCAAGCAACCACATGGCATGGCATAGACTGATGAAGCTTCCTAATGGCCTCCTGCAGTATTGCTTGCCAAATTTGTTCCAATTTTCAGGCTAGGTTATCAACATACCCTGGTAGATGCATTCACCTTCCCATCATAACTGTAATACCATTTATAGCAACACGTGGCATATGTGATCTGGCATTATCTTGCTTAAAAATAGGGCCAGGGTACTGCAAAAGGAACAGTAGCAAAATAGGCCTCAGAATTTTGCTGACGTACCGCTGTGCTGTAAATGCACCTCTAATGATGAACAAAGGGGTCCAGCTATCAAGAGAAATGGCACAAAAGACCATAACTCCTGGTTGAAGGCCTGTGTGGCTGCAATAGTGAAAGCAGGATTGGCACACTACTCTGGGCCTCTCCAGAGCCATGATCTCCATGATCGTCACGACACAGTTGGAAGTGGAATTTGTCGCTAAAAACTATACGCCCCCAGTTAGCATCACTCCAATCTGACCAAACCAAGCACCACTGTAATCTGGCTTGACAGTGTGCATGAGTGGCAGGTGGCGCAACAGTCGGTGTGAGCATAGATTTCACTCTATCAACCATCTGTGAATGGTCATGGTGGACACTCGTATGCGAGTCGTAGATCTGATGGTTGATAACGATGAATTAGGTACTGTAACAGCTGATCTGACAATCACTCTGTCCTCTTGATCTATTGTGGTCCTAGGTCAACCGCTAACCTCATGACGCTGAAATTGGCCATTATCCAACCATTCTTGCCAGCATCTTCTGATCGCCGCATCGCTCCGACTTATATGATGAGCGATTCTCCAATTTGCCCAACCTGCCTCTTTCAATCCAACCTCTTTCAAACTCTTATAGTTGCACATAACGAGCTCGAATTCTGCGGTGAGGCATTTTTTTCCAGTCGTTGAAAGGTATCTCATATCACAATGCAACGGAAATTTTTAACATTAGTTCAAGAACATCTCCTTATATACAGCTGCTGGATGCATAGTTCCGATGCACTGGAGATCACACTATTCATTCATTGGATACCAAATTTTTTGGTCAAAACATTTAAGCATACAAAATTTCAAAGCAATCGGATGGTTCCTTCTTGGTGCATTGATTTTTATTCTCTGAATGGTCTGGAGTTCATTTCTTTGGAGACTATCAAATAGCGCCTGACAGCTTCTTTACAAACTTACTTTATCTTTTCTAATTACTTTTTTAAAAAATGAATTTTCCAACTGCCAAACAGATGGTAATGAGTCGTCGAACATAAGATGTTTATTGATTCAATGAAATTTTCTTATGTTTTTCTGCTTCATTTGTAGTTATCATAAAAAAAACTGCAGAGCTTAACAAATGGCCCAATATATTATTAACATCTATAAAATATTCTCTGAGCTTCTGTTAACTAGTTCAATTAACCTATTATTAAAACAAGTTTCTTCCCTGTAACTGTTTTTTATTTAAATTTTAAAAAAGGTCTAACAATCATGTTTAGTTTCCACTTAATTAAATTTATATTTCCTTGAAAAGTTAGTTTGTTTTACTTGAAAGTTTGTTTGCTTCTCATTCAGTTAGTTCCAACAACATAAAATGCTGTAAGATATGCCATTAGAAATTATCTGTATTGTTGTTAGCAGACATTTGTCTTCAATTTCGAAACATAATTTTACTTAAGATTTAAATACTTGTTTTAGTGATGTATTAAATAACAGCAAACAGCCCATCAAAAGTCTAACACTCACTAAAACATGTTTTGAAATTAGAAACATCTTTCAAAAATTTTAGACTGCTTTTAATCATTATATGCATGAGGTCTGTTTAAAAGTTTCCAGATTTACTTACAGTGTATCACGAAAATGATCGGGCATGACATATTTTTACTTTTTTAAGTAATAGGAGAAAAGCTTTGCAATAATCTAATGAAGAATATTTTCCCCCTGAATACATATTTTAACTCTCTCTTTGTACTAAATAAATTGAAAAAAATGAAATAGTAAATTTAAAAAATAGCATTTTATGTTAAAATGGTAAAAAAAGATACCACAAAATTAATCGGACATTTTCATAATTTCTAATTAAACTTGTCTGCAATACATAAAAAACAAAATTTTATAGAATTAGTTTGGATAAAGAAGGAAGGCAAAAATCTAAAAATTATTTGCTTTTATAATTTGAATTTTCTTTTTAGAAAATATTTTACTGTTTTATTGCAATGGCTTGGTCATGAAATGAAACATCGTTAGAAATCTGCAGATTATTCATTGATTTGCCCCAAAAGAAAGGAAAATCTATTAGAAAGATTACTTATTTACTTAATTTAAGTGATTCTAGAGTTTTGATATTATTGAGCATTACAAGAAACAGAATCGTATTCAAAACAAACAAAGACCTGGAAGACCATCTAAGTTACCTCATGGAATGAAATGCTTTATATATCTAAGAAATATTAAAAAGAATCCAAGACTGAGTGCTCCTAAACTTGTTGCAGAACTTCATGAATTATATGGAATATGTGTAAATCCAGAAACATTAAGAAGAGTAATGTGATCTACTGGATATCATTGGTGAGTAGCAAGAAAAAAATGTTATGTCAGTAAAAAAACTGAAAACTTCGACTCGCTTCGGCAAAATCAATGAAACAAGACACTCGATTACTGGGAAAAAATAAGTGTTGTTTGTTGATAAAAGCAAATTTAGCATCTTTGGCTCAGATGGACGAGTGTTGGTGTTAGAGAAGACCCAAAGAGTTTTGGAAGCAAAATATAGTACCAAGTGTTAAACATGGAGGAGGAGTCATGGTATGGGGGATCTATGGCATATT